TTCCCAGTCTCAGGGTCTTTGATCAGCTGGAAATCGAGGTTGAGATGCTTGAAATCGCGAACAAGCTTCCCACGAGGTCCTTCGACTTCGATCACTTTAGCGTGAACCTTGATGCTAACACTCTCTGGGATGTCCATCGTCTCTGAAGAAAGAATCGTCTTCATCTTCTCCCACTTTGCTTCTTACTACCTCTCTCCCGCTCAATTGCTCTCTCTCTATAGCTAAAAGCAAAATCTGGCGACGATGAAATCCTAGTAGCTTCTTCTTATTAAAAAGACTAACAGAAACCTAATGTGGTTTAAAAATGAGCCCATTCCTAGCCCAATAAAAGCCCACGCTCAAGAAAGACCCGAAACAAGTTTATTGGCATAGATCATACACAAATTAATATAATCACTTGATAAGCAAAAGGGGTGGGCAATAAATCCGTAACCCGATATAAATAGTTTGGTTTAGTCTAAAAACCCATTTGGTTTTCATACTACGCGTTTTTATCCTATACTAATATTTGGGAAGTACATCCTAAGAGTCATAACTTAGATTTTGTAAGAAATTACAATATATGCCATTAGAGATCTCTAATTATAATCATTTTATTCCATTTCACTAATATATATTAACGGATCAACGGGTCAACGGGTCAAATGGGTTTAAAGATATTAAAAGATTTTGTTTATATAATACATAATTAATATAATTCGAGAATGTTATATACTAATCAATTCGAAAATGTAACACAATTAGCAAAAATCCTATACTAATATACTAATATATTATTCGGAAATGTTATTGAAAATGTTATTCAAATTGTTATATAGTAATCCATTATTCGAACATGTTATTAAAAAATGTTATTGAAAATGTTAATGAAAATGATATATCATTGAAAACATTTTATATCAATCCAATTTATAAAAAATGCTATTTTGAATTATAATACTCATATAGTTCGAAAATGTTATTGAAAATGTTATCCAAAATGTTATATCCTATACTATTATTTGGGAAGTACATCCTATAAGTCGTAACGTTAATTTTGTAAGAAATAATAATATATGCCATTAGAGATCTCTAATCATAATCATTTTAATTCCATCTCACTAACATTAACAAATTAATTAAAAAACTGGTCAAATAACGAAACACGGGTTTAAAGATCTTAAAGATATTAGGTTGTTATATTTTGTTTAGATATAAATTCGTATTCAAGCAATTCGTAATCTTTGAGAATATATTCAGTTTTCCTAAAATCTTTGAGAATATATTCAGTTTCCTTAAAACCCTTTATAAAAAAAAATAAGTTATAATAGTTGTTATATTCTAGATCGTTTTTTTGTTTAGTTTTACGTTTTTTGTTTTGGCTTAATCACGCATCAATATAATCAGCTATTCAGTTTCCTTAAAATCTTTTCTAAAGATTGTCAAATATCTCTGTTATATAATTTTGATCATATATTCCAAATAATCTAGAATATACCTTTTAAAATATTATCAAACTATTTTATGCTAATTAATATATTTCTGAATCTCCTAATTATCACAAATAATCTACAACTATAAATATCCATTTAGGTTTGACGTACATTTCTCACAGAAATCATCTCAGCACCATTCTCATATCCTACAATTAAAAATACAGCAGAAATGGCTATGGTTAGTCGCTACACTCCTATTAACAACTTGAAGCCTGTCAAGACTTTTTGGTGTATTCAAGTTAGTATACTTCATTCGTGGATTCATTTTACAAAAGCATGTATTTGGAAATGATTTTGACAGATGAGACTGTAAGTACCATTGAAATTTTATACAATTCTCTTTGTAATATATGTGCCGTAAGTTTTAAGTCATCTGATTTTAATTACAGGGTAACAAAATTCAAGCAGACATCAAAAAGAAACACATCAACAAATTTCAAAGGTATGTTAAACCGTTTTTTTTTTTTTTAAACCATGAAACTGGGCCCCACAAACCCAATATAATCCATTAAAAAACTTAGACCCAATACAACTATTTTTTTGTTTGTTCACAATCACACAATAAAATTATCAATACCTAATTGAACCAAAGAAATGGTTAATCTCATATAAAAAAAATACAAATCTAATGCTGCTAAATATATTAAATTCTAAAATACAATATTCTCTCATTCTTTAGTCAAATAAAATATATAACATTATATCCAAATAGTAATAAATATAAAATATTATGATATAATCCTTTTTATATTATACTATTATACTATATTATTTCTTATTTCTTCGAACAAAATATACAATTTAATTCATGAAAAATATTAAATCCCGTGCTGTATAGCACGGGTCATGATCTAGTTAGGTTTGATTTGGTTAAAACGCGTAAAACCAAATGGGTTTTCTCCTTTTTGATTAAAGAAAAATCATATATTATATGGCGAATATATATATATATATATATATATATAATTTTCCATATCTATATATATAATTATACTATCTTTTTTATATTATGATTAGTAATAGTATCATTAAAATAATTCTTTATTGGATTTATAATTATTGATCTCTTAGTCATTTATAATCTAGACTAGTATTTTTGCAGTCATTTTGGTGACGGGTGGGTAAAAATGCTTCAGGGTTATTTTGATATCCGACCCGTTTCCAAATTTTGGTCATAAAAATTTTGTTGGGTCGGGTTATATTTAACACAACTCATACACCGGATATTCCATATTTAATAATTTAGATATTTAGAAGATTTAATTAAGATTTAGAATTATGATTCTCCTATCATCTTTGTTACTGTTTTGAATCATCATATAATAAATAGAGTAAAAAAAAATCAATTTTTTTTTCTGCATATACTGTGATTCAAAATTTTAAAAACGGACATATATTATCCAATTGACGAAAATGTGTGTTCAACGTTCTACATCGAGTAAAATATTTAGACAATGATTTAGAATCATATCATAAATAAGATCAAAATTAATAAAATAAATGAGTTTTTTGGCCAGACGGGTTTGGCGGAACGGATTTTTAATCAACAATAATAAAAATATTAAAATATCATTAATCCGCCGCTTCAATACGGATTAAATCCATAATTTTTTTAATACCACCAATATTAGACATATCAAATCAGTCTCATTTAGAAAAGATTGTATAAAATCAAAAATTGTCCCGTGGTATAATGTTACTTAATAACAATAGTAAACTATAAAATATAAATGTCTTTGAAAATGATACAATTTACAAACTTTTTATCTATAATAAATAATCGTTAAATTTTTTAAAATTACTACTTTTAGAAAACAAATTACGGGACGGGTTAAGAAACTACAGGACGAGTTATATCGTGGACGAGTTTGAATCAACATTTATAAAATTTTAAAATATCATTAACATGTCGTTGTCGTTTTAATACAGATTCAATCCTTAGTTTATAAAAATATAAATGTCTTAGAGAATGATACAATTTATAAACTTTATATATAATAAAAAATCATTAAATTTTAAAATCACTACTTTTAGAAAACAAATCACGGGACGGGTTAAGAAAATTATGGGACGGGTTATATTTCGGAACAGATTTATATGGCGAACATGTTTGAATCAATATTTATAAAATTTTAAAATATCATTAACATGCCGTTTTAATACGAGTTAAATCCTCAGTTTATTATTGTTCCGTGAACTCGTGATATACCGTTACTTGATAATAACTATAAACTATAAAACATAAATATTTTATAAGGAGATACAATTTATAAAATTTTATATATACTAACTTTAAAAAATAAATTATCCTGCGGTATACCGCGGGTTAAAATCTAGTTATTGATATATTATTTTACATTACATTTACTTTTATGTATGCATCAAACTTATATTTTGAAAAATATGGAATAACCTACAAAAACCGGAAGCAAACCGAAACTGAACCAAACCAAAATACATATGTTTCTTATATGGTTTCAATTTTTATAAAACCAAAAAACTTTAAAACCGTAAAAATCGAACCGTAAGCAAACCGAATTACATACGGTTTCTATATGGTTTCACAAGTTTGGTATAGCAGTAGCATACTCTTCGCAAGCTCTATTTCAAATATCCCCAACTTCAGGAAGCCCAATATGAGCCCAACAATTTGGGCCGAATATAATCAAATTATTGTAGTAGAGAACGTTGAACATACATAAACAATAGACAACGATAATCTTCGTAAACTTATATATTCAAAAGCGTTACAATTCAAACGAATTTATTTCAGTTTCTGTTTGAGTCCCACAATGCTTCTTCTTCTGTTTTTTCTTTTTGTTCTATCTCTTCCTATCTATCTTCTCTTTCCCATCCTCATGATAATCCTCATCAACTTCATAAAAATTGAAGCAACCATAATGTGAGAAAAATAAAAATCAAGCAAATCCAAGTACATTCATTGTTTTCAATGTTACAAAGTGTTAAAGTCAATTCTTTATTAAAGTTACAAAATAAATTACAAACCATATATATTTTGAAATAATCTACACAATACATTCATATACTTTTAAGCTCACATTAGAAATATTAACAAAATAAGGATGAAAAAGTTACAAAAATCTACATTTTGAACATATAAATGCATAAAACATTCTAAATTATATTGTTAGCGACATCAATCAAGCGTACAACTAGAAATATAAATTTTAGGGGTACGTAATACTAATCGTACTAAAATAAAGCAAAAGTAGAACTATGTGGAACTTGTGTATAACTACTATCTTGTGTATAACTATGTGTAAACTGGCGGCGCACATGCGGATAAAAACGGCGTACAAGTGGGAAAAAACGGCGCAAGTGAGGAACAAAATTGAACAGAAAATTCGAAATTCACCCGAATCTTTTTGGGTTTCCCTCCAATTTCCACATATTCGAGAATTCCCCTATTGTCACAATCTTCGTTTCCCTTATTCTCCTTATCCTTTATTTCATTCTCCTCCACTCTTTCGACCCCTCTTCTCTCGAATTCTATAGTTATTCTCTCGACTAAGGTTGTTTTCATTGTGGAGGTACTATAGTGAGATGAAAAGGGCCAAGATGCTAAAGGACCGTTAAGATGCTCTAGCCGACGATGGTGACCGCAAATGCAAATATAGCGTAGATGGGAGAATAAGCAACTTCTCCAAGCATCGCTAGTGCTTCCACGGACGGTCCATCTTGAGTCAAACGGCGTAGAGATTCGATATATCTTGCTATCTCATGACCTTCATCTACGCATCTTAAAAGGAATGATCGATAGATAGATTCTTCTCTACCGAGTCTAGTGTTGAACATGAACTCATCAAGATCCACGTCGATTAAGACTTCACGGGAAAAGACAATTTGTTTAAAGAAAGGCCCAGCTGCAATGAAAGGACCTAGGTTGCGGAATCCCTCACTCCCAATACGACGGACTATGTCTGTCATAAGTGGTACTGGAATGTAGATCATTATTGAGGAGGTTTTTGCAGCCACAAGGTGGTAGAGGATAAAAGAAACTCAGATAGAGTATAAACAACTTTAACTTATATAAGTTGAAGTATAAAATCCCTAAATATGCACACTGTGCGCATAGCAGATTAAATTCTTTTATCTTGGCGCTAGGGATCCCTTACGGTCTCTAAAGGCACACTGTGCGCTTCCGCTCCTCATCATTTTTCTATCCTTCTTTCGTTGATTTGACGAACAATAAATGTATAGTTGTTTACTTGTTCTAGTTAATGTCGTATTAACCGTTTGGATTCTGCTGCATTGAACCGATGCATAGATCCTCTTTCCTGCTGTCCCCAGCCCAGTTAGTCATAGTTGAGTCGGCGAATAGTCTGGATGTGGACAAATAAGCTCTGCGAGTGATATAATGAAGCCATTTTTTTGAGTATATGCAACGGTTATTGCATAGAGAAGAAGTCAACGTAACAAAAAAAAATAGGTAGGACCGTCGTTGCCTCAGGCGACTTGTCGCATAATAAGTTAACAACTATAGAGTATTATAGAAATACATGAAATAAAAAGTAGTAGAGCAATGCGAAGGCAAAAGCAATTTGATCGCGGATAGGTAGCAGAGTTTCAGCAGATTGACTTGGTGACTGCAGAGTTCAATATATTTGATTTATACCTTTGATGTATCTCGGCTTTTTGGAGAGCGATATGTCATATGCGCAGATGTTCTGCCGACACAAAATGCAAACAAAGAAAGGCAGCGGTTCATACTAGAAATAAAATCTAAACATACAAATGAATTCTAGTGATTACTTACTTTCCTAGTTGTAAAATTGAATTAAGTGGCTAAACGTTTAATTCTGAGTGTTTTATGCGTCCATCTCCGCCATAACAATACAATAGGTTTCTAAACAATACAATAGCTAGGTTTAATAATGTCCTTATTAAGTTTAATAACAACAATACATTAGGTTTGTAAACATTAGATTTGTAAAATTACAAATGGTGAAAGTTCATCCTCATGCAAACACAATAAAATGCGAACACGGATACTAATAAACTAACTTCCCGATGCATAGAACACGGATACTAATAAACTAATAAACTAATTACAAGAAGAAGAAGTTACTAATAAACTAACTTCCTATGAGAAAATGGTGAAAGTTCTTTTTTTTTTGAATTACTAAGAGATTTTGGGCCTAAGCCCGCACATCCTTTTAGACCAGGGACTAGAGCAGTTTTGAATTGTTTGAACAAACGAGCAAATGATTAGAAAACGATGAGGCCCAAATGAAGTCATAGAGAAATCTTAGAATTTACGAAACTGCTTCCAGTCTGCAGACTGCAGAGACCTGCACCTGCACAGACGTAGTTTCTGAGTCTCTTCCATAAAAACAACTTATGTTTCTTTTGGGTTTAATTCTTGTTAGTGATATGTTTGTACTACGTCTACGCATACTAAGAACGAGAGCTGGAAAGAGACAAACGCTGTCGCCAACACAGAACAAATGAGTTTTAAAAGTAACCATAAAAGAGACTGGAAAAACGGATAAAGACATAACAAATGAGTTTTAAAAGTAACCGTAAAAGAGACTGGAAAAACGGATAAAGAAAACCGGACTACGCCGGAACTGAACCATAAGCGGGGCTAGCTATCACCGCTTAGAAAAGCCAGATGATACTTGACGAGAAGCGAAGCCCGACCATTCACCATTTTAAAAGCTAGTAGATGTCAGACATAAGCCGGATCCTTCACCGAAAGGCAAGAACCATAAATGCCTACTCTCTCTAGAAAATGTTAAAGCGAGATGAGAGAGAGAAGTAGAATCCTATCCGTTACATGGATTTAAAGTGGTATATTACTAGCTAACGTAAAAATGTAAGAACAAATGACATTTTTGTTATTATTTTGAAAAAGAAGGGGGTACATTGTATTTCCACCTAAAAGTGTACCATTCCTACAAATTTCCTTTTTATGGTACCAGTATTATAATTAGTTTTGTTAAATGGTCCATTTTAACAATTCTCTCATAAATAAATTGAAACAAGTTTGTCTAAATAAAATTAATGTTTTGGATGTTATATATTTTGTAATTTTGGACTTGAAATTTTAATATTTAGAAAAGAAAAAAAACTCTTTCAACAATATATTCACTTATATAAACGATAGATTAATGGTTGAAAAAAAAACTGATAGATTAATGACCCAAATGTGTTGTATTTTAACAGTAATCAGACACTAGATTAATAACTTTAGATGTCGTATTTTAACACATATAAGACTATCGAAATAAAAATGATACATATTCAAAAATTTAAAAAATTTCAACATTTTTGCTATTTTTATAATATAGTTATAAACTATAATTTTAAAGTATACTGTAACAGTATACTTTAAGAAAACAACATAACAATTGTCTTATATAGTAAAAGTTAGAGATCCGTTCTAACGAAATTCAATTTTCTTAAAAAACACTAAAAACATACATTATACAAAATTATATATAAATACACACATATATATATATATATATATTTCTATAATTATTAATTTATGATATTAATGGAATCATATATTTATATAGAAATTCTAAAATATATTATCTTATTATCTTATCGAATTTTGCTAATATTTACACTTGCACGACTTAACCAACATAATTTATTATGTTATAGTGTTTATTAATTTACCGAATATTAATTTATAGAGGTTCTACCGTATTTTGATGTTTTAAACCGGAACATATAATAAGATTCAAATTTGGTTAAATTGAATTTTAAAATAATATTAACCTAAAATTGCAAAATAAACTTATTAAACTTTCTAAATCTTTTCTATTAATGAACTCGTGTATTACACTAAACCTAGTCAAGTTTATATTATTTTATTGTCTTATAGAGATATATGTACGATCGAAGATATGAGAAGAAGTGAAGTAATAAAAGTGTAACGCCCCGACCGTCCCTACCAGTGGATCCCACGTCCTCTCTCGGGCCCAAGGGCCCACCCCTGTCCGACGGCCGGTCCGCTACGTCCGGAAGGCTTTAAAGACTTGTTTATCGACCCTACAAATCACCACATGATCTTTCCCTGTGTTTTGTCCTCACTCACACAGTTCCGACAATCACTTCCCGGAAGGTCACCCATCTTGAAACTACTCCAGCCCAAGCACGCTTAACTGTGGAGTTCTCTCAGGACGTTTGACCGAAAAGATAAGTGCACTTTGGTGACATACGTGACCAAATCAATTCTTTTAAACCTCTCCGCATGCACCACCATATTCCTGAAACCGGGGTGTTACAAAAAGCTTCTCTTTCCCACTCATTCTTTACTTCCCTTGCTCTCTAAGTTTTATATATATATTCAACAGTTTAAAAATTATTTTACAAATTAAAATCAGTTGTGTGCTAAAGGTCAAATACTCTCATAAGATTATTGCAAGATGGAGAAAAATTATTTAATAAAAAAATTAAAATTGCGAATAAATATGTCCTTTTATCGCATGCACATCATCGTGAGACCATTAAAAATCAAATATTCGAAAATTTTCCAGAAGGAAACAAGAAAACACTTTTTATATTTTACAAAAAGAAGTATATTTTACTATTTCTACATAAAGTTATAATTATACATAGATTTTTGTTATACATTTTGTTAATGCATTAAAACAATTTTTCTTTCTAATTAATAAAAAAAAATCATGGATAAAATTAAACTTTTATGTAAAATTCTGCATTAAATTACAAAATGACATTCTTTATAAAACAAATATAGAATTTTAAAATGACACTCTTTATAAAATGGACGTAACAGTAAATTATTATTATTGTATATTTTTCTTTGTAGACCACAAGTGATATAATAAATTCATTTTTAATAACTAAAAAAAATAATTCATTGTGTATAAAAGGGCACCTTACTACCCTTATACATCATCATTCCACATTGCCACATTCATTCATCAGCTCTCTTTATATCTCAACCGCAGCATAAGAGGTAATTAATGGTTCTATCTTATATATAGCAATCAAAATAGTTTACTTTTAACCCAAGTAAGAGATGCTTACTTTGTTACTACAAATGATTCTGATTTTTTTTCCTCAAGTGGGTAATGATTCAAACTAATCAATGACTACGAAACAAAATCTCTAGATTCGTGATGGCCCTCATGGTGAAAGCTGAAGGAGGAATTGGAGGAAAGCAATGGGATGATGGATTTGATTATGAGGGTGTAACAAAGATATATGTACGAGGTGGTCTTGAAGGCATTCAGTTCATCAAATTTGACTATGTCAAGGATGGAAAAACTATTGCTGGACCAATCCATGGTGTCTCTGGTCGTGGTTTGACACAAACGGTATATATGTAATGTGTCTTTATAACTTTATATATCTAATTTTACAATCTTTTTTTTTTTTACATTTTTCTTTGCAGTTTGAGATTAACCATTTGCAAAAGGAATATTTGTTATCTATTGAGGGTTACTACGACAAATCTACGGGTGTGATTCAATCAATCCAATTCAAAACTAACCAGCAGACTTCTGATATGATGGGGTTCAACGAGGGTACTAAGTTTTCACTAAGATCCATGAGGGGCAGAATCATTGGATTTCATGGATTTGCTGACAAGAATCTCTACTCTCTTGGAGCATATTACACCAGGATTCCCGCAACCAAATCGGCAATGGAAGGTAGTCAAAATACAGGAAAAGGTTATGATCATGGTGGTGACTATGTTGGCATCAGAAAAGTGTACGTTACATTTGATGGAACTTCAATAAGGAATATGAGGGTCGATTATGACAAAGCTGGTCAAGTGGAATGCTATGAGTATGGGGTTAAGATCGGAACACAAAATGAGGTTCTCCTAATTATTCCCACAGCTCTATTTAAATATTGGTTTATTATTGACATGTTAATTTCTTAAAACACTAATAAATGTTTAATTAGTTCTATTTTTTCAAATGTTGGTGGTATCTAGATTAGTATCCAATTTTACTAAACCTTTTGATTGTTATTATTACAGTTTACGGTCGATTATCCATATGAATGTATCACATCCGTAGGAGGAAGCTACGCGGATACCCAACCATACGCTTGTATTGTCCTTAGGTCCTTAACTTTCAACACATCAAATGGGAGAACCGTAGGATTTGGAAAAGAAACTGGTACCAAGTTCTTGCTTGAGAACCAAGGCAATGCTATTGTTAGGTTACATGGACGGGTAGGTGCTTGTGTTGATAGTATCGGGGCATATTATGCTCCGTTTTCTCCTTATCCTCCTCCTACAGAGAAACTAGAGGGCCAAGGTGGTGATGGAGGAGACTCCTGGGATGATGGTGCTTTCCTAAATGTGAAGAAGGTTTACATAGGACAAGGCCAGTTTGGTATCGTCTCCGTTAAGTTTGAGTACGAGAACGACTCTAGTACTGTGCTTCATCAGATTGGAGTCCATGTCGTTCCCATCGCTGAGTGACCTCCATAGCTAGATTCAGTATCGATGTCAAAGTTGGCCATGTTGATTTCATAAAAAATTGTATTAATCTCATTTGTTGTTGTTTGCGTGGTTAAAATGATATTTATAATTGTTTTGATTTCATCAATAAAATAAAAATATAATATAATGTTATTCATAACATACAATTAAATAACAACTCATTATGTAATTATTTTTGCACATAATACCTAAATAGCATAATACTATTCCCTCTATTTCTAAAAGAAATATTTTTTAGAATTATTTTTTGGTTTCTTAAAGATTTATATAATTTTGAATTTAATGTCCTTTTTCATAAATAATTATAAGAAATTATAAAATCCAAGAAATTTTATTGAAAATTTTGAATTTATTGAATTACTATTGGTTTAGAGTTATGAAAAATTGTTTAATACAAAAATTCCTAATATGTGTGACCGGGCTAAGAATGAGAGATAGGAAATCGACGATCCTTGGAAAAAGGATCTCAGGTTTCTGGGAGAGAAAGCGGAATTAACTCACATGAGGTATGTGTAAATGTGTTTGTGTACAAAAGTTAATAATTACTTTCGCTCATATAGTTAATAGCGACTGTTACGATTCAGAGGTGATTAGTTCAAAACTCAATTTTGTATTTTAAAAAAAATACAAAAATGACGTCGTTTTGTAGTTTAACGGAAGCTATTAACGTGGGAAAACGGCCGATTCCCCCACGAACTTAGTTACTTTATCGGATTCATACACAAAACTTTGAGTCGTGCCTATAACTACATGAACTAAACTAAAATTTGAATTTCCTACACAAACAATGTAAATCCGGTCAAAACCATCAAATCGACAAACGGCGTTACTAGGATGTCGTGTTTGCAACTGAGGATGCCACGTCATGCTACAAGTTTGTGGGAGAATAGGCCGTTTTCCCCTATTAACGTTGTCTTAACTTCGTTAAATTGGTCTGTCTATTGACTTCATGACATGTCCTATTTGACAAAGTAAAAAAAAGTTAATGATTTAATTGGAAAATCAACTGAAATTTGTAATTTTATTCACCACAACCAAAGTTCATGCTTTTTTCAACACTTTTCGTAAGTCAACACTTTTAGGATAATGCTGGCAATACTCATGCTTATTCGTCAGTGTAACTAGATCGAAACAGATCATCGGATGAAATAACTCATTTTCAAAAAGTTTACATGCAATTTTACATCACTTCTCACTGTATAAAAATGTATACGTGCATACCTTGGATGCAATTCCAGTACCTCCAAAAGAGTTTGACAAAACCAAAACCATCCGTTCTGTACATTTCTATATTCAACATAAAAAAAGTAATCAGTTCGTGAACGTTAAAAACCTTATAATCCTTAAACATAGATCAGTCCTTTTTTTTCTTCCGTCAACAGCTTTTAATTATAACTCAAAATGTTGTTTACATATTAAAAATATATATTATTTTGAGTTAAATATACCAACTCCAAATTGATCTTATGGGAAACAATTTTGTGCTTGATATTGATAAGATTTTGCTTGGGAACGAAGATCTTGAGGTTGATTATATGGATGGAGATATTGTGCTATATGAGATTAATGGGGATGAAGTTGATTATTTTTTCAAACCTCATATAAACCAGAAATTGACTTTATTTTTCTCCAAATGCATTTGATCCTCATGAGCATAGTCACTTGTTTACTTTGGTTGGTTTCTTTTGTTGCTTTCATTTGAGTCTGTCACTTCGTTTTTATCGAGTCAAATCGTGTTTTTTATTGAGTCAAAATTTGTTAAAAACTATGCTCTCTGTTTTAGTTTATTGCCTGAGTGATTAATGCTGCAGATTTAATTCAGATCCGACTAATGAAAAATCCAAGGGCTGACCAGTAGACCAGAGACATCCAGGTTTCCACGAGAACATCATATATCCCATGTAAGTTTTCTTATCTTTTTCATCTTCACATTTTCATTTCTTTTTTTTAATTATTTATTTTAAGTGTGTCCGACATCTTCCTTTCGAATTGTTCTCACACCGAGATGGTGTGAAGCAAGTCGGGGCAGGATGTCACTTGTTTACAAATTAAGTTTCTTTTGGTTGGTTTCTTTTTTTGCTTTCGTTTGAGTCATTGAATCAGTTCGTTTTTATCGAGTCAAAATTGTGTCTTTTTATTGAGTCCAAATTTGTTAGAAACTATGCTCTCTCTTTTAGTTTGTTGTCTGAGTGATTAATGCTGCAGATTTAATTCATATTCGATTAATGAAAAATCCAAAGGCTGACCAGTAGACCAGAGACATCCCGGTTTCCAACAAAATCCACAAAAAGCCTGAACTAATTTCTCAGCTCTTCCTTTTACCTCATTTGATGTGACTAGTGTTCACATGGCTTGACTCCTCGTTCATACCTGACAAACGAGATCCCGTGTGAAAAGTAATGGTACTCCTATTTCTTATTATAAAATATAAATGAAAACATAAAAGATGAGATGATTTTCTTTTGGGTGAAAGGCTAGGAAAATTTCCTTCGATCCCATTATTTTACCTCGAAAGAAATGATCACACAAAGGTTGGAAGCGAGGTTAGAAAAATTTCCCATGATACTATTATTCGCCTACACCTTTGAAGTCCTTAAAGGAAAAAAAAAAGATGAAATGAAAAGTATAAGTCTAGGGGAGAAAAAGAGTGTCAAAATTGTAAAGATTGGTTGGTTTGTCATGGTATCGTATGGGAATGAGTCCCAGCGATGAGGGCTTGTCGAGGATGATGTGAAACTATAGTTTGAATTTAAGATGTTGTGAATGTCTATGGAGAAGTACATGGTGGTTCGATTTGGATTGGTATTCTAGTATGTGGATTATGGTTTGAATGATTAGTGCAAGGCTCTAAGAGAAAGGTAGTTTCCACGTTTTCACACCTTTGCTCTTGATAAAGATTTTTTTTTCCTTGAGGACAAGCAAAGATCTAAGTCGGAGAGAGTTGATATGTTGTGTTTTATCGGTTTTGAGTCTTTGTTTTCTATCCTAGATCATATATTTTATTGAGTCAAAGTGTGTTTTTAGAGTCCTTTAGTCCTTTCTCTAGTCTTTACAGGTTTTAGGTTCCTTCGGAGGAAAACGAGTCGTTTTTGGATATATACACACTCTTAGAGATGCAGATTCGTTTTGAAGTGTCACACGTTTTTCCTCGGATGGAGGACTTCCCACCGATAGATCTTTATGCATTTTTGACACAAACTTGATAAATATGATAGCTTAAATTTCCAAGTGATATGAAGGAAATCTAACGGTGCTTCAAGAGTTATACCCGATTTAGTAAAGACATGTCATTATGGCGAACATTTGAAGCAGCTGCAAAGTTTGATACTAGAAGATCCAGATCGATCAGTCCTTATATCTCTATTCTAGCAATTATGTTGTGATTTAATTTGAGAAACATGTCGGAAAATGCACGAACTTTCAAATTTGGGACAAAAAAAACATGAAGTTTCGAAATGTCATTTAAATCATAAAATTTAGTTTGACTTTTGATTAAATAGTTAAGTTTTCGCTGACCTGGCCATTTAAGGCATGTCATTAAATTTCCGTTAACGAGACGATAACATGGTTAACTTTCCGTTAGAAATCTTCGTTGAATCGAAACGACGTCTTTTTAAAAACAACAAAACGTCGTCGTTTCACTGGAAAATAAAACGAATCAACTGCGTCCATGAGGAATCGAACTGCTTACCTTTTGGACGAATAAGAGACTTTGAACCACTCAGCTACGATAATATTTAGAATTATAACAAACATATTGTATATATACTGAAAAACAATATACAATTAACTAAAAATCTATGTAATTAATTAAAAATAAGAAAACTAAAAATAAATCAGTAACCAAAAATATAAAAATATAAAATCTATTTACCATGAATATATATTTCAAAATTTCAAATATTTAATTTTATGTATAAAGATTTTTTCTATAGTTGGAAAAATTAATCTTTCTTAAATTATACAAAAAAACCGAAACATATGGAATATAAAAAATTAAATATATGACCTAAAATTTATATAATCCTTCTCATATAAATATAGGATTAATTTGTACATGTACATAGAATTTTATTCAATTTAACTTCATAAACAATTTTATTTATAATAAAATACATATATATATATATTTTTAAAATTTTTATATAAAATTAAACGTATTGTTTAGAATATTTAATATTTTTATATGTTTATATATATAATTCAATGCATTTAATATATATATATATATATATACGCTCTGTTTGTTATATTACCAAAATGTTCTCATAGCTTAACGGTTGAGAGGCTCTTGTGTGTCCATAAGGTAGCAGTTCTATTCCTGCTAGACGCGGTTTTTCATTATTATTATCCAACGAACAATTCAAAACGACGTTGTTTTTATTCAACGGAGATTTCTAAAGGAAAGTTAACCCTGTTAAATTTAATGAGATGCCCGAAATGGCCAAGTCAACGAAACATTAACCATTTTATCAGAAGTCAAACTAAACTTTATTATTTAAATGACATTTTGGAAGTTCATGCATTTTTATCCCAAATTTGAAACTTCGCGCATTTTTCAACATTTTTCCCGATTTAATTTCTACAAAATTTGTAACATCCAAAACACTAATATTATTGAGTTAAATTGTCTCAATTCATCTTTTTCAAAAATTTAATAATTAAAACAAATATCTTATTTAATTAATATCATTAGTAATAAAATATCTTGGTCTCAACATTATTGTTTTATAGAGGTTTTACTATATTATGAATGAAAAATATTTAAAAAACGGTTCGAGTAGTAAAATACAGTAAATAGGATGTAACAAAAATAAAAAATAAAATATTTTATAGAATACAATAAATATTAAAATATTATTTATAAATAAGTTATGGTAATTAATTTTATAAATGAAATAATATATTTATATTAATATATATATACCTGTCACATGCTATTTCATAAGTTATCAACATATATGTGTAATTTATAAATTATTTTGAAATAGGCTGAATAATATGAGTAAATCTGGAACATATACTTTTATTTGCAAAGTTTTCACATA